TCCCCCAGCCATGGATGGATGGGGATGCCAACACATTGGCCACACATTGTAGGTGAAATGGGGCAGAAAGTGTAAAATCCCGGGCTTTACTGCTTCTGGAAAAGCAGTTTGCAAACCCAGAAGGCATCCGGATGCTGGATGAATTCAGCCCCAGAAGTGCAGTCACCATGTGAAAGCCATGGCTCCACACATCCCCAAGGGACAGTGGGTGCTCAGAGCAGGACACGCATCCCCCCCATGTCAGGGGTGCGCACCCACCCATGCTGCCCCACAAACCGGGGTGCTGCAGCAACGGAAGCGTCGCGGGGAGCACGAGCCAAGGCTTTGCGCATCCTCAAACGCCGCCTTTTCGACATCTTACCATTCACCACGGAAAGCCGCAACCTCCATCTGCCCCGAAGGCTGCTGAGAGCTCAGGTTGCCGGAAAAGCTGCAAAATCAACGCCGAGAAGGGAGATCTTTGGCAGGCGCAGGGGCATTTTGGGAGGGTGATGCCCCAGAGGGGCAGCAAGCGCAGAACTGGGCATCCATGTGCCGAGCCCACGGGAAAAGCTCTGGGGGAGCTCAGCAGGAGCTGGGGTTGCCCATTCCACACAAAACAGAGTGCTCTTTGTCCAACCTCCATCCACCATCAGCTCCCCAAGGCCATTTCTCTCCCTCCAAAGGATGACAGCCCCTGGAAACATCTTTATGGGGTCGGAGCAAAGCGGTGATGCTGCGGTGAGAGCATCAGCATCACAGAAACTGCCGGGAACGGGCGGTACAGGATGGAGCAGGGTTCACCCCTCTGCGTGTGCCACCCCAGCGCCCCAGGGCCCCTCTGTCCCCTCTCCAACCAGGGCTGGGACCTCCTGGTGCCCCATGAGGGATACGTCCCCCTTCGCCCTTAGAAGAGTTCCTATAGGCACCGCCACATTGTGGCTCTTTGTGGGGTGGGAGCATCATTTCTCCATCTACCAAGAAGAGAAGCAGTGATGCAGGTCTCCTGTCACCCCATGGCACTTGGAAGATTTAACCCTAAAGCAATTACAAGCAGCTAGCACAGCATTTACTAATTCCACCCCAAAAAACCCAACCCGCCTTCTTCTAAGGCCTCCCAATGAAACGCACATCTCCCTGATGCAACCAGAAGCCCTCCAGAGGTTGAGGGGGAAACCGAATCGATCCTGCTATTCAAAACTTGAGGAGAGAGAGAAAATAACCCTTATTAATCACTAAATTCACTTAAGAGAACGCTTGTAAGGCAGGGACAGAAAGAAGAGCGCGGGGACATCCTCTGCTTTGGGAGCGGGTGGATTCATGGGGGATGATGGAGCCTGGGGGTGATGGAGCCTGGGAACACGCGGGATGCTCCGGGTGGGGACCACGATGATGAGAGGAGCACAGCACATTCCCTGTGTACCCGGGCCCACTCAATCCAGTATGGCACACGTCTTAACTGGGCCATGTCCTGGCCTCTTGATGCCCCTCTTACTAACGGTTTCCACTTTCCTGTTAATTCTGGTTTCGCGGTGTTTCTGAGGGCGTTTTATCTATCACCTTTCTTACGAGATG